CAGTCTAGCTATAACGTTACAACTAGTTATATAGCTAGCTAACGTCAGGTTTAACTCAAGTTAAACAGTAGCTTATCTGTGTTGTGTTCAGACACCACCGCGGCAAACTGAAGTGTGTAAACGAGACATTTCACTGTAAATACTACACAACTTTTTGACTTATAGCTGTTCATTTTCACCCAAAACATTCCACAGTTTATTTTTAAATAAGTAGCTCGTTAATATACCTGTCTTTTAAAAGTCAAGTCATGTTTTGTGACTTCTAAAACGCGTTAAATGGTGTTTTTTGGTGTAAGGTACGTTATTTAACTTAAATTCCCGACATGCAACGTGGTAGCTAGGCTACTTGACTGCAGTCACTCACCTCCACAGTTGGAGAACATCCGGGTCCTAACCACCCCCACCACCTAAAGGTGTAGTTACGAGCTATTTGTTACACCATTGTTATCGCTGTGATCGCTAATGCTCGATAGAGGACTATGTTACACCGTCACCTGCTTTAAATCAACACTACACTGACGTAAGCTTACATCTTCTACTAAACCCACCTTTATTTTGTTGCAGTTGAAGAGTTTCAGACACCAACTAACGGTAATGTTCGCTTTAACGCGTGACGTCAGTCCGGTAACAGAGCTACTCTGATCTGATTGGTTCACACCTCCGCTAGCGTCAGCGACACGCCCCCGTCTACACCGTAACCATAGTGATGAGTGTAAACATCAGAGAGTGCTATTTCGATGCGAAAATGCTGCTTTCACGGCCAATGGGAAAGACGGGAACCTGTATGTTTTCCAATGGTAATGTGACCTATGGGGGAAGTTTTGCTATTATTTTTGAATAGTATAGAAACTAAAGTAATACTACCGGATTTAAGTAAGAAAAGGAAAGTATGTAAATCAAAATAAATAGTTAATATTAAAGAGGATAAATAGGAACAAATGAAAGTTCCTTGTACAGTAGTAACTTTAACTTAATTTGATTTGCTTACATGCTGTGATGTTCCCGCTTAAGATCGTTTCTTCTAAGTTTACTAAGAACTCTCGTGGTCCGTGATGTTGGCGTGTGAATGAGTCATAGAATCATTCTGCAGTTTAACCATCTGTAAAACATCTGCTGCTGTGAATGAAACAAAGCGTCACACGCTGAGGAGGGAGACGGCCACTCAGTGACAGATCTCTCTCTACGTAAGCTAATACAAGAAAGAGGACTCACTCTGTTCCATTTAACACTCCACATCGGCTCCTACGATAAAGGATGAGGCTTTAATGGCCACAGATTCTGAACAGACCTGGACCTCCTGCACATTTAGCCCAAACCAAACTCTGTACTATAATAGTCAAACACAGCCTCAGAGATCCACGTGAGCTCTGCTGCTCTACTTCTAGAGAGCGGCTGGTGACTCAAGCGATGTGTTTACTGAAATATCCAGGTATCCATTTAGTCTCGCAGGTCTCAATTCAAACAGGAAGTGCTGCCAGATGTCTGGCATTCAACGTATTAATGACCTTTGTGTAATGCATCGGCTTCCAGGAGCAGAGGAGTTCATTCAAGGGTTAGGAGGTGTTACGACTACTTCAGTTAATGATTTTTTAAGGATCTTTTACACCTCCGAGGATTCCTTTGAAGTCACAGTTTTCAGAAATGTTCTTATAAAACTCTCACGATGAGAGCGGTACCAATATAAATGTCACATTCATCTCTGGATTATGAATTAAAGTGGTGACATAAAGTAAGTTCAACAACAAGCAGTCAGTAATACCTTAATGTGCAGGTTGTGATGCATTCTGGTCTATTGAGGCTGCTGCTGGTTGAGTTATTGTGATGAACGTATGAGGAAAAAACGACACGATGACTTAAATAAATCGTAAAGTGTTTAAGGGAAGAATTTTCCTTTAAAGGTCCACAAAAAAAAAAGTGTTTTCTTAATCAGCTTCTTCCTGTGAGCGACGGCAGGATTCTTCATCAACACAAAAGAGAATTTTCTGTATTTTTGTGACTTCTTGTTTCTGGTTTTAAACGTCGGGTCTCGGTTAGAAAAAGGTGATGTCACAAAATGTACCAATCAGAATCTATCAAACACACATAAAGCAGATTACCTGAGCTTTAGTTAAATTCTTAATAAATAACAAACGTTTGTTTTTTTGTTCGTTGCTTTATTAGTCATGAATCTTCATTTTCTTTCTATATTCTTTTGTTACTTTAACTATGGTTGAAAGAAAACAGTTCCATGAAACAGCTCACAAAAAGGTCCGTGGGTCACCGTGAGTATCCGGGTCAGGACTTCTGGAAAAATACGTCGCTTTTGAGTTTTTTAAATGTGATTTTTTTTCTCATTATATTGGAGAGAAGACCGACATCTCTACGGCCGATATCTCCAACGACACGGCAACACACACCAAAACAATCCAGACTGGTTAATAACATGACAGGTGGTTCGGATTTGGGGTGAACTGTCCCTTTAAAAAACAGAAAGCAATAAATACATAAGATGACAGCATAGTGTTCTTTAAAGGACAAGAGGAATCCAACAGAGAAGTGAAATCAACACTTAGTGTGAAGTTCATTATTTCATAACTCTAAGCAGGTTTAGTGACACATTCAATCAGTAAATAACATCTTAACATACTAATCATAAACATCTGTAGGAATTCAACAGGTAAACAATTCATTTACACGTAAAACAAAGTTCATTGTTCCATAAATCTTTGCAGGTAAAGTGACCAATTAAATCAATAACTTACATGCATACCAAAAAAAACAAAAAAAACTCACCCACTCTGCAAACAATGACATGTTGTCACTTTAAAGACGACGACAGAGCGTAATGCTATAGCTCTCTGCCTCTGCTCGACTCTATGGCTGTAGTTCATTTAATCACAACCAAGACACACGTGTTGTAAATGTATTAACCTGCTGAGTGTCACTGCTACACCACATCACACGTAGTCTGATATCACACCTCCTAATGTTCAAGTAAAGCAGTATTATGTGTTATTAAATACACATCAGTATATCTATAACAGTAAGGAGGGGAATTCTGGTTTCATACTTGAGATATTGATGCATGTGGAGGGTAAAAGCACACAGAGCTGTCAGGTTTCTATTAACAGGTATTTGTTTCCAAACACTAAATGTGAATATCTATATTTCATATCATCTATCTGGAGCCTGGAATCTCCTGCTCTGCAGACGCTAGAGGGAAAAATCAATAGCACCAAATATCAGATATCAACGCTCCTCTTCTACAAGGTGGATGCTGTATAGTACATACGGAGTATATTCCACATTATTATAATAATAACCCTAGTGAGCTATCTTTGGTGGGCGTTATTGTGTGCAGGATGAAGTGAAATGTGGAATAGTGTAGAGGCTTACAGGAGAAGATCACTGTGGGCGGTTTAAAGGTGGATGCACAAAATACTGGAATACACTGTAAAGAATGTGCACTGATTCAGCATTTAAAGGGTCCAAGAAACAAGAGCATACGCAAGTATTTAAAGAAATTATGAAATTATGTGACTTACATAAAAATGGAGCATTGGAAAAAATGAATGCTATCTTCTTAAAAGCCTAAATAATCATTTGAAATAGATAACAGCAAAAACTAGTAAAAACACCATATATCCATGTACATCAAGTTTAAATCGACCATGAACACACAAGCTGATGACAAACTGAACCTTATCGAACGTAGAATGAGCTCAAATGAATTAAAACCATCTGTATAAGCGGGTCTAGCTAATAGATGGATGGATGGATACAATACAACCTGAACTTAAATGATGTTTTAAATAGAAAGATTGATTGGTTGTTTACAATGTAGCATTATCAGAGATCAGACTAGAAACACATCAATGAGCAGAGCCTGAAGGCATCATAATGTAACTGAAGTGAACCTCCGTTGGTTAGCCATTAGCGGTGCTGCTAACGTTACTAGCTCTCCTCCTGTTGGTTAGCCGTTAGCGGTGCTGCTAACGTTACTAGCTCTCCTCCTGTTGGTTAGCCGTTAACGGTGCTGCTAACGTTACTAGCTCTCCTCCTGTTGGTTTAAACACTGATTGGTTGTTTACAATGAAACATGATCAGAGATCAGAGACTAGAAACACATGTTCTACTGAATATTGGAGGAGAATGATTGTCAGTAAAACGATTTACTCTGTGATGATTAAAGTTACACCACATGTGTGCATAGTGTGTGTTTAGTGATAACATAACACAGTAGCATCAGACCAGTGATAAAGGAAACATCCATCCATCTGGGGTTAGGCTGCAGCAAGCTAACTTAGCCCAGATGTTTTACAGCTCCTCCCGAGGCGTTGACAGGCCAGACGAGATATAGAATTCCTCCAGCATGTTCTGGTTCTGCAAAGGAAGGAGTTCCAGGAGGATCCTGATCAGCTGGCTACTTTATGACGAAGCTTCCTCCGGGTGTCTGTTCTCTCTCTCTAGGCGACTTGTATCCACTCATTCTCTCTGTCACTACCCAAAAAGCTCATGAACACAGATGAGAGTCGCAATGTAGAAGGACCGGTGAGTCTTAAATCTTTCAGATGGTTTGTTGCAACATCTTCATCACTGTTGACGCCGAAAACTGCCGTTTACCCAAAACCCTGAGATACTTGAACTCCCCCGGCATTGGATGGTGACTCACTCCACAACCCAGATGGAGCAATCCACCGTTTTCCAGCAGAGAAACCACAAACTCAAAGTTTTAGGTACCGACTCTCATCACAACCACTTCGATCTTGACTACAAACCGCCCCGGTGCATGATGGTTGTCACAAGCAAACAGAACCACATCGTCTGCATAGAGAAAATTCTGAGGTCCCCAAAATCGATTACTCTCCCACAAAAATCTTCCTTTTCTTTCTTCTTTCTCTTCTTGTTGATTCTTCTTTTTTTGTATTTACCCCAAACTCCCCACAGGACCCCCCGGTACCCGGTCTCAAGCCTTCTCCCAAGTCCAGAAAACACACAACAGGATGAAAGAAACATCGCCCTTAAAATAGTCTTTACACTGTTGGATTGCATCACTACGCCTGAAGCCATTTTGTCATAAAGTGGTGTAATATTTTAAATCTTACTATTTAAAACACTTTCTAAACTACTGTCTGGTAGAGAATGTGGTGACGGAAGTCTTTTAAATAGCAAGATTGTAGACGAAGATGCTGGATGTTTTTTTTAGCTCCATTTACTGTAATTCATCACGGTTTTACTCCTGTTTTCTGATTCTTCATTCACTGTGGAGGCATGAGAGAAAGTTTTCCTCAAGGATCCTGAGGTAAACAGGAAGAGTAATTGATAAAGAAATGGCCATTTTGTGGGAGAAGTAGTCCTTTATTTAAGGAGCTACGATCTGCATATTCTATGATGCACTTACTCTGATTGTTAATTTGTTGATGTTTGACTTTGTTGGTATAACGATCTGAATGTGATGCAGCGTCTTCTACAGAAACAACACACCACCGTACGACAGAATGAACCCAGAAATGCTCCCAACAGTGTTTGATGCATGATTTATCCTTCAACAACTGCTGCTCTTCCTCACCTTGTGCCCACTTTCACTCACCGCTAATCGGTGGGGGTAGTGGTGTTGGATGCTTTGCCTGTGCAGGTGCATGATGGTAACAAAGAGACAGATCTGTAGCGAAGCTTTGCTGGTATGCGGCGCTAAAGCTGCTAGCTGACTGCGAGTCTGTTTTCCAGTGTGACAGATTGGTCTACATAACTCCAGTGGATGCTCCCTCAAAATAAAAAAGCTGAAATAAAGAAAAGACACGATGGCTGCAGCCCACTGCAGTCCACCATGATGGTGTTCACATCCTTTTTTTTTCTTGTGGGCCTTTGATGCCACAAAATAATTGGAAAATGGAGCAGCATCAGTTAACCAATCAACAAATAATCCAATTAATCAATCAATTAGTCACCAGCTTGGGTCCCTTGGTCTTGGGCACCACCAGTATTTCGTCTCCGTCCTGGATGCTGTAGGAGTGGACTGCCCGCGTATTGTACTTCATCTCCTCTGGACCGAAGGCGCTGCACTTGTCGATGTAGTAGATCCTCATGCTGCTGGTGGACAGCTGGACCACCGAGGTCAGCTGCTTCTTCAGCTCCGCCACGGTCTGGTCCAGACGGATGCTCAGCTGACACGAACACAACAGTTTATACATTTTAGGCACAAAAACACGACACTCGGAATAAATATGACAAGTCAAAGCCGGGAATGTTTTAATTCTGCACGTAGAATTGTTGCAAACATATTGTTTTAAATCTCTTGCCAGTCTTAATAATAATAGATTTACTGGAGTTGTGGCGTGCTCCTGAGATCCAGTCAGTCTTTTTCTCATCTTGTTTAATATTATCTGAAGTTTCTTTTAGTCTCGGCTTCAGTCTTTGCAAAATGGTGTAGTCTGTGACTAAAAACTCTGTGACTTGTGACAGATGGTCTTGAGACGGGAGAGGGTTTGTACATCGGACTGAATACAGATGTGGAATCTTTGAGGGAACGTGTTTGATAGATTGGACTCATGAGCCACTGAACCAATTGAACATTTATGTATCAAACACATATTTAAATATACTCTTCGTCGTCGAGCCATTCTACGTTCATGAAAAGCTAAACACACCTGTTCCACTTTGTCCTCACAGTGAACCTCCACCATGGCCCGGTAGCGAGGTCGGAGGTCAATTTCAGCGAGCGGCTCCAGCTTCCCGTACTTGGTGACCAGAGAGTGGTACCTGAGGAGGACAAGAGCAGGTGTGTTGAGTGTTAAAGGGACAGTTCACATGTCGTTCCTCTCACATGTAGTGTGATGTAGGGAGTCTAGATTCATTTGAAGTGAGCTGCCGAGTATTGGAGATATCGGCCTTCTCTCTAATATAAGGGAACTATAGGTAACGGTCAAATCTCGGCTCTCGTCTGTGATAAGATTCACGCTTCCTTCAGCGCGGTGATACGGTTGGTGGGTGTCGTTCGGCAGGAAGAAAATAGTTCCTATGAAACCTCACACAAACAAGGTCTTTCAAACGTTTGTTTTTTTGGCGCTTTGGGAACCAAAAGCGAGTGAAATCTGGTTATATTATATAGGAGAGAAGGCTGACATCTTACACCAAACCAGATCCAGATGTTGTGGGTACCTGTAAGGCAGCTCCTCCTCGGGGTAGTCCACGTAGTACCGGATGAAGAACCTCTCAGCGTCCTCTCTCTCATAATCACTCACAACGCTGCCGTTTAGCTGAGATATCACAGGGAGCCTGAGGGGAACAAATACTGTTCATCTATCAATCAATCAAAGTTTTATTTATCCAGCACCTTTATCACATCCTCTCTCTGATGTGATAAAGTATCTGTCTCTGTGAGGACTCACTGTGCTATCACAAGGCTGCGTCGCTCTGCGTTGGTGTAGCTCTGCAGTAGAGGAATGCCATGCAGCCGCACCTCCTCCAGCCTGGGGAAGAAGTTGAGCTTCTCGATGTCGTCCCATCGGTTCAGACCTGACAACACAAGAAGTCACGTTTCATGTGCAGCTAAGCTGAGTTCTGACTATGCTGGCCATGAAATAATAGAATAACACAAAAACTTCACATTATGTTGAATATACCCTCCAGTTCTGATATAGCTCATTCTAATGTAGCATCTATTCTCAGCTCCGCGTCGTCTCACACACACATTTAAGCACATTACAATACAGCATTAAAAATAATAATGATGAGATTTATTTTAATCAATAAAAATGCAATCTATTATTTCCTAATCATTAGAATTTTGTGTTTTTATGAAGAAAAACACAATATATAACGCTAAAGTAAAAGTATAACATTTAGAACTTTGACTGGTTTACTGACTTCAGAGCATTGAAATGATTTTGCATGTCAGCAGAATTAGTTTTTGTCTGAAACTGAAACAAACGTTTGATGTTTTTCTGTTCCTCAGGCGAAGCAGACTTATTGTTTTCTTCACAGAGATCTAAAAATAGATCCGCCGCTGAAACCACAAACCACTGCTGAGATACAAGCCGACGCAAAGAGGAATCTGTGGCGATGCTCCACAGATAACACCGAGCTCTCAGGACACGGCGGCACGTTAGCTGCTGCTAATTCTATCAGCTGTCACATGAAGTCATACTGTACTGAAAGGTACTGAAGCAATTCTTCCTCCTAGAATCAAACCATCATCCACACCGATACGTTTAAAACCGGGGGGGTATTTTATTTCCATTTATTTCCATTTATTTATTTTATTTTATTTTATTTATTTTATTTTATTTATTTTATTGATTTATATAGTATATATTATTTAATTTTGTTTCCATTAATTAATTAATTAAACTCTATTTTATTTTTATTATTGTATGTTTATGTATATATATGTATATACGTATATATACAGTATATATATATATATATATGTATATACGTATATATACAGTATATATATATATATATATATATATATATATATATATATATATATATATATATATATATCTATATACACTGTATACCAGGGGTCTTCAACATTTTTCAGGGCAAGGACCACCAAACTGATAGAGAGATGGAGCAGGGACCCCCGACTATATGCAGTTATGTGAAAAAGTGTTTGCCCCCTTCCTGATTTCTTATTTTTTTGCATGTTTGTCACACTTAAATGTTTCAGATCATCAAACAAATTTAAATATTAGACAAAGATAACACAAGTAAACACAAAATGCAGTTTTTAAATGAAGGTTTTTATTATTAAGGGGGAAAAAAAATCCAAACCTACATGGCCCTGTGTGAAAAAGTGATTACTCCCCCCTGTTAATACATAAATTAGCTGTGGTTTATCACATCTTTGGAAAGCTGAGTTCAATTTCTCTAGCCACACCCAGGCATGATTACTGTCACACCTGTTCTCAATCAAGAAATCACTTAAATAGGACCTGCCTGACAAAGTGAGGTAGACCAAAAGATCCTCAAAAGCTAGACATCATGCTGCGATCCAAAGAAATTCAGGAACAAATGAGAAACAAAGTAATTGAGATCTATCAGTCTGGAAAAGGTTACAAAGCCATTTCTAAAGCTTTGGGACTCCAGCGAACCACAGTGAGAGCCATTATCCACAAATGGCGAAAACATGGAACAGTGGTGAACCTTCCCAGGAGTGGCCAGCCGACCAAAATTACCCCAAGAGCGCAGCGACGACTCATCCAAGAGGTCACAAAAGACCCCAGAACAACAAACATCCAAAGAACTGCAGACCTCACTTGCCTCAATTAAGGTCAGTGTTCATGACTCCACCATAAGAAAGAGACTGGGCAAAAATGGCCTGCATGGCAGAGTTCCAAGACGAAAACCACTGCTGAGCAAAAAGAACATAAAGGCTCGTCTCAGTTTTGCCAGAAAACATCTTGATGATCCCCAAGACTTTTGGGAAAATACTCTGTGGACTGACGAGACAAAAGTTGAACTTTTTGGAAGGTGTATGTCCCATTACCTCTGGCGTAAAAGTAACACAGCATTTCAGGAACATCATACCAACAGTAAAATATGGTGGTGGTAGTGTGATGGTCTGGGGCTGTTTTGCTGCTTCAGGACCTGGAAGACTTGCTGTGGTAAATGGAACCATGAATTCTGCTGTCTACCAAAAAATCCTGAAGGACAATGTCCGGCCATCTGTTCGTGACCTCAAGCTGAAGCGCACTTGGGTTCTGCAGCAGGACAATGATCCAAAACACACCAGCAAGTCCACCTCTGAATGGCTTAAGAAAAACAAAATGGAGACTTTGGAGTGGCCTAGTCAAAGTCCCGACCTGAATCCGATTGAGATGCTGTGGCATGACCTTAAAAAGGCGGTTCATGCTCGAAAACCCTCCAATGTGGCTGAATTACAACAATTCTGCAAAGATGAGTGGGCCAAAATTCCTCTACAGCGCTGAAAAAGACTCATTGCCAGTTATCACAAACGCTTGATTGCAGTTGTTGCTGCTAAGGGTGGCCCAACCAGTTATTAGGTTTAGGGGGCAATCACTTTTTCACACAGGGCAGGGTGTAGGTTTGGATTTTTTTTCCCCCTTAATAATAAAAACCTTCATTTAAAAACTGCATTTTGTGTTTACTTGTGTTATCTTTGTCTAATATTTAAATTTGTTTGATGATCTGAAACATTTAAGTGTGACAAACATGCAAAAAAATAAGAAATCAGGAAGGGGCAAACACTTTTTCACACAACTGTATATTGTATTTTATATTAAATGGGCCTAGTACCATGTATAAACATACCTCTTTATTGTGCATTCAATACTAAGCTATTCAAATAATACACAGGTTCATATATTCATGTTTTTATTTTAAACATGTGCAAGGTACAGTGAGTAGGGAGGCCGTGCCACTGCCATTTATAAACACACCTTGTCAGCTGATACCAATGCCAATATCAACATTGTCTGTCAATTGCATGATAATCATGCATACAAGCTATTCAAATAGACGTTTTTATTTTAAACATAAATGTGGAAACAAAAAATGAGTGATGGCCTATTAGTGCCACTGCCATGCATAAAGATACCTGTTATCTTGCATACAATACTGAACTTTTAAAATAATGGACAGACTCATGTTTGGGAAAAAAAATAAAAAATAAACATTTTTTTTAAAGAGTCTAATCAACAAAAAATTCCGGACCCCCTGTTGAAGACCTCTGCTGTATACTGTATATTATTACACCCCCCCCCCCTCCTAATAATATTATTTTTTGACAACATGCGTAAAAGTGTGTACTTGTAGGAAGGTATATGTATGGGTATGCTGTACTTGTAGGTAGATATTTATGTATATACACACACACATATATATATATATATATATATATATATATATATATATATATATATATGTGTGTATAAATGCATGTAGGTGTATATTAGATGTGTATTCGTTACAAGCTAAACTCTTAGTACTATTATTTCTGCAATTGTTTTGATCATGTGCCTTGTTTTTTGAGGTCGTATTTCAGGGACTGTTCTATTTAGTTAAAAAAATAAAAAATAAAAATAAAAAGTTCATAGAAATGAATATAATGTCAGCGTAGTCGTGTGGGTGTAGCCGTTAAACTGCCGTGTCTTATACCACAAGCGGACGCAGCGATGTACCGACCTGAGTTGCTCAGGCTGATGCTGCGTAGTTTGGGGAAGAGCCTCCGCAGGACGTCCTCGTTGTCCTGGATGGAGGCCAGCTTGTTGTTGGCCATGAACAGCGTGTCCAGGCCGGGGAACATGGGGCCCAGCTTCCGCACCTCGGCCCAGTCCTGGAGGCTGTTGTCAGTGATGTGGAGCAGACGCAAGGTGGGGCACGCCACGCTGGAGGCACTCACACCGCTGTACTCGTTAAGGCACAGGAACAACTCCTCTAGCCTGCAACACAGAGAACATATATATATATATACATGCATATATATATATATATATGTACATGCATATATATATACGTATATGTATATATATATATACATAGAGATATATATATATATATATATGTACATGCATATATATATACGTACTTGTA